TGCAGAGTAGAGGTTTAGTGTGTCAGGAAGCACATGGAGCATTGCTTATAAGAGCTTAGTAGGGATATCTGAACAAAAGCAATTCTATTGATTAGGAAAAGCAAACAGTAAAAGCAAAACACTGACCTTTAGCTGTTCTGTATAGAATTGCTCATTTTTTGTTACCTTCAAGTCTTATGTTTTCAGCACCTTAGTTTTCTGTTGATGGTGTGGTTGCTATTGTTGGTCTTTTCATGCATAAGATACAGCTGTGGCTTTTGTTTATATGATAGGGGATGATATCTATTTCCTTTTCCTGTCATTTGTGGCCAAGACAGAGGTAGTTCTTGATATGAGGGGAATGAGGAAGTATGAAACCATGGTTTATCCACCACAGAAAACCCTTGATAGCCAGTAGGAACCTATTTAACCTGCTTTGGTATCTGCAATTTGCATTCAGTGGTGCCTGAAAGGGATATTAAGTGGAATGTCTTTGCTAAACATAGAGCAGCAACCAGTTGTCCTCATTAGACTCAGGCAAGAAGGAAGTAGTTTGCCCCTCTTAGAGCTAATGTTGTAGACTGTGCACTTCAGAAGAGGATAGTACTACGTAAAGTGATATTATTTCAACCTCCTATCTTACTGTATCACCCAGAGCAAAGATAATTTCATATTATTAATGGATAAAGTAAGAGCAACCCAAATACCGTCAGTGGAACATAGGCAAAGTTATTGCTGGCAGCAGGGTTCATCAGTCGTCAAGGGCATAATATAAAGACATAATTACAGATACACCCCTTTGCCTTCACTGATACAACTGACTTAGAATATTGTTGATGCATAAGAAAGTAAGTCCACCTTTCACATTCAACTTCCACCTATCCAGGATAACCAAAATAGCTTTAAGTAATTAGTCAGCAGACATGACTGTCAGTGAGGGTGAGCTGCAAAGCAGGAAGATGTTCATTTTAAAGTTTTACTTTTTTGAGTGGAAATGCATTTCTCTTTTTTGGGGGGCAGAAGTATAGTTTTAGGCATCACAATGCAAGTTTTTTTACAAAAGTATGTTAGTTTGTGCTAAGGCACTAATTCATTCTTGCACATTGAGTGAATTATGATTTTACTGTGTGAGGCAATTAATATGTTGCCATTAAAAAAAAAAGGTGGATATAAATATTTTCTACTGAAGTACTTTAATAGCTCACTAAGAGAACTGAAGCTTTGATTTTTCTTTTCCAGATGACTGGTAGATATGAAATGTACGCACACAAGCTCACTGAAGCAGTCCAGCCTTATTTTATACCCAATATAATCAAAGAGTAAGAGAGAGCATCTCATAAGAATCAAATGTTACATAACAAATTAAAAGGTACTGTTGGATGATAGCTTTACTGTGGATCACAAGTTGTTATTTTAATGTTATACGTTTCATTTCCTGTAACCAACTTTTAAATAATAGGATTCAAAACTGTGTTAAGTAAAATAATTGAAAAATGCCTTCCTGGTTTTCTTTTTTTGGGGGGGGGTTTGGGGGATTTTTTGGGGGTTTTTTGTCATTTACACTGAGTCCAAATGTTTGTTCCGTACTAGAAATACATGTGGTAAGAATGCATCAGTATAAAATGATGAAATTCATTCAGTACTGTGATATAGTTTGGAGATTACGAGTCCAGAGGACATAATTTTTACATAAGCTTTGCATTGTGTATCTATTTGCTTCTGCTCTCCAGTTTTTACCCTCTACCCAAATGCATAATTTAAGGAGAAAGGAGGCATAAATTGCTTTAATCTGTTTTGGTTTTGGTTTTTTTTCCTAAATTACGAACTATTTGATGCAGTTCTGTTATAGCTAAGTAATGTCCCAGGCATGTCCTAGTTGTTTGAAGATCTGTGGTAGTGTAAAGCAAGACCATTTTGTTTCTTTCTGTTTCCCTTTACACTATGTATTACAACCACACTTGGACCCATGTCTTTGATGGACTCCTTCATGGTGCAGAAGTAGCACTGCTGACAGAGGCTTTTACTGTCTTCTCAGTGCTGTGTTGTGAGGCAAAAACAGAAACACTGGCTAAAAGCACAGGCAAGGCTGATGCAGTTGCATACTCTTCATTGTGAACAGAAAGCCACAGAGATGCTATTAGGGATCAGGATGGGTAATGAAAGCTACTTCCTTGGAGCTGCACTCCAGTAGGATACTCCGTGATTCTGGAATACACTAAACAGCTGTTGAATATAGATAATAACCATACATTTGCTATTCTCAGCTACTAGTGTATATTGTAATTTTGTTTTGTATTATTCAGGTGATGCAGTAAGTGTTCAGGAAGTGCAGAATATGAATACAATTTACAGCCTAGCAACTAAGAATTTAGAGCTGAAAGAAATATTTGAACTTTTTGAATTTTTTTTTTTTCCAAATTGCAATTTCAGCTTTGCCATTTCCAGTTAAATATATATAACACATCCTCTAAAAATTGTCAACATTTTTCATAATAAGCTAGTTAATAAATCCAATTGCTACATTGTTACAGGGTTATCTGTGACTTTAAACCTTTATTGAGAATGGCTTAATTACAAATAAAAATATATTTATGTATAAAATCCCTGCATGTAAAATACCCTTCCTTTGCTATTGACATAATGAAGGAAACAAAGTGACAAAGGATTTTCAGAATGAGTTTTTTGATAGACAATCTTGTAATGGGAAGCAAAGTTTCAGAAAATGCAGATGTTCTGAATGCTTGCACAGTGAGCTGCTTTTTAATCTGAATTTGTGTCATATAAATACTCAGTCTTTTCACTTGGCTTTTGCTTCTTCCTTTTTCATCTCTCATAGCTGTCTTGGATTTGGTGGCTATAAGAGATCCTGTTGCAATAGTGGAGCTCTCCTTTTGTCTATATTGGCTTAAACAGCTTTGTTTCTTTCAGTTTTGTTGACATATTTAAACCTTGGGTACCAAACATTTAACAGTCAGTATTGTTACACCCATCTGTGCACTTCAGACCACTTAACATGCCCTTAAGTTCACATTTCATGTATAAGCTCAAGACTTGCATCTGAGTAACTGAACCAGTAAGAGGCTAAATGTCAGCTACAAGCCTCCTGTAAGAATTGTTTTTACTTAGCTACCCAAGCCTGCTCTAAAATAAATCCTGCGCCAGTTTAATGGCACTGAATGCCCTACCTACCTGAACATGCATGGGTTAAGGAAGTACTCTTATCAACCTGGAGTTTACATACCTGTTAATTAGTAACACAGCTAATACAGTCTCTCTAAATCAAACATAATGAATTTGGACTTAGACATAAAAATTCACAGCTCAGTAGCAGTAGCCTTCTGGTGATTTACTTTGGAGGAGTCAGAAGGCACTATCTACAATAGGGTTTGGACCTTTTTTCTGGGATTCTGCTGGTGGCACTGATGTACTGGTTCTACTGCCCACAAATCATATCCTAATTTTTACTCATTTTGCAAGCATAAGTGCCAGAATGTATTCCAGCTTCACTAGTGATAAGCAAAATCTGATACATTGGAAATTTGTTCAGAACTTTTTAAAGGCTACTGCATTTTAAATGTCTCTTACTATTTTTAGCCTTTGTACAAAGGAGCACTCTTGATTCTGCTAAGCATACTTACTGAGAAATATCTGGAAAATGTTCAGTAAGTCAACAACTGATACAAGAAAATGTTTTCTCTTAGAAAAATTCCTAACCGTGCTGAAAGTAGGTTCCTATTTATTATTTTCACAACTAAATAATAATGTCCTTTTACTGTTATTCCATGCAGTTCCAGAACTTGAACAGTTCTTTTCCTAAAACCATGCCAAAGGTGTGGAATCTCTGGCTTCAGTGCAGAATTAAAATTTTGCTAGTTTTACCTCAGTATTAACCTTGATTTTTCTACCCAATTCAACGTAGGCAGGACTGGAGATCAAAACTTGCAGGAAATTTTGATGGATGAATCTGAAATTGGTAGCTATTTCTTGTACTTTACAGTGCTCCTCAGCAAAGTAATGAAACCCAGGGTAATGCATGAAAGGATTATGAATGGGGTGCTAACCATTTCACTTTATAAAGTCTGAATATGGTAACTCCAACTTAATCCAAATACAGCTGTAGTATAAGAGCTAGAAAATCTGAGTTTCTGCCTTTTTTACTTGTAGCAAAGAGACATTTATATTCCCTCTTTTCTTAAGTGATTTCAGCTCTTCTTAGGTCACTGAACTAATACCAAGAGCAATATTTGGCTCAAATTATGATTCAGAATTTTAGTTACAATGCAGTATATGCTGTCAGGTATTTACAGTTTGCACACAAAATATATCCCATTAGTGTCAATAATCATATTTTAGTATTTGCTTATTAAGTTTGAAGTTGATATTTAGAGCGGATTCTGCAGAAACAGGCCCATGTGGGTGGCATAATGATCAGAGGTTTTTGCAGAGAGCAATAGAGAGTTCTAGGTACAAATAAAATACCTTCACTTAAACTTTTGGGGCAGTAGAGCTTGAAGCAGTCATCCTAGAGGATTTAGCCAAAACAGATGGAGTTTGTAGTACAAGGGAACAATACTAGTAACTACGATTCAAAATTTAATGCAGTGCATAAATGCTAAATCTGTGTAAGGTGAAGGCAGTTTCCTTGAGTAAATGTGTTTCATTCCTACAATGCAGACAATATTGGTGAGCCAGCAAGGCATTTTTGTTACTTTAAATTGGTTTAAGTTAATATTTTTTCCTTCTGTAATGCCATGCTGAACCTCAAATCACTAGATTTAGGATGAAGATCAGCCCTTGATGCTTTGACAGAGAGAGAAACAGGTATTTTCTATTTTCTTTTTTTCCTTGTTGTGGTTACCTAAACCTATGCATGTATTACCAAGTGTTAAAGTTCATAAATTTGGTGCTGTTTAATTTGAAAATAAGCTCAAAGTGAACAGGCTCTAGGCCTGTATTTTAAAACTGCTGTCAAATGTGCAGTGTTGAAAATGAGGAGGGAAAAAAAAAGTGAGACGTACATTGCAAAATCAGATGCGTCATCAGGGAAAAAAGGTAAAGACAGCATTGCAATATAGTCCTATCAGTGTCTATAAAGCCTCCCTTGTTTAAGATCCTGCTGCAGATCGGGAGCAAGGTCTCTGCAGGAGGAGTCCTGAGACAAGCAGCCAGCTGCCACGCAGGCTGCACAGGAAAGGACCAGAAGTATCAGGTGTGGATGTCAGCTGTCTGTGTAGATGAACAGAATATCTTCATCAGTGCCGTAACTTGTCCTGGCTTCCTCAAAGTTACTGATGCTGGTGCAGCATGTTCCTGTTAAGGAGGAACAAAATGTTAGTAAATATTCAGAAGAATTTGCCTGTGAAAGGCTCTTAACACTGGGTCTAGCAGCCTCTACAAAGAAAAGTAACTAGTATAGAGGTTAGACCTATCAGTTTAGGTTACAGCTTTACTCAGCGAGATCTTGTCACCTCAAAGGCAGTGCTCACTGAAGTGATCCTATACATAGGTACTACGATGGCCAGCATGTTGTATTCTGCACATAGGAACAGTTCAGCATCTCTCACTAATCCATTTGAAAGCCAAAGGAGTTTGCTAGAATGTGTTATCTCAGTGCCTCAAGAAAAGCACAGCACGAAATGCAGCACTAATTTAATTAATGTGGCAAAACCCCTTCTGACAAATCGGTTAGTGATGCTTGAAACACATGCACACTATGAGGGGAGGCGCAGCTGCGGCTCTGTATTGTAGATCTGTTAGTAATGCAGTGGCTGAGAATCCACCCAAGAGGAACAGGCTACTCACGGTCAGCATAGGCAGGGTTGTTGTAGTAAATACTCCCTGAGGCTTTGTTGTAGCCACATAACACAATGAAATGGCCCTGGTAATCAGGATTCCTGCAGAAGCACTTCTGTCCAATGGGGAGGAAGCAGCAGTATTTGACAGGACTTGAGCAGAGATCACACAATAGCAGGACTGCATTCACTAGGACGATGGCTACGTGACCTTGGGACAGGTGGTTTTGGATGTCTTGAACAGTTACTGTGCTGCAGAAAAAAACATCCGATACGTTTATTAACAAGCTTAGGGAAGAGACTGGCATGCAATGAAGTGTGATGATGGACAGTACTTATGACAGGCAGCTGGCATGGTTAATTTTATATCACAGGTACATTATTTTTGCAGTTAAACCATGCAAGCTTTGCTACAGACAAAGCCTGGCAAAACCTGTGTCATGCGAGGCCTTTTGATCTCATTGCTGCTACTAAGGTGCAAAGCAAGGGCTCTGGATTCTGCAATAATACAGATGTAACCTCAGAATGTATCAGATGCCCCAGAGAAGAGTATTAAAGCAGCTGGCAACTCATTCAGTAACTTGAGATACTTTTATTGTGGGAAAACCGTAAGTGAAGTGTTCTCCCCTGCTTTTAAAAGTGCTTATCTCTGAAGCACCAAATCTTTTATCAGCTGAGTGGTTAAAGATGGTATAATCACTAACCAACTTAAGACATGACCAAATTTGCCTCTCACACAGGAATATGTTTGTTTTAATTTTGGACTATGTGATGCTCTTGAAGCTTTATTTCTCTCGTACCTCCTACAGAGAATGAGTATTAATCAAACAACCTATAATCTCATCAGTTAAAAGCTGTCCTTCACTGAGGCAGATGGTGTATTCCATATGCATTAGAAACTCATCCCCTGGATACGCTCCAGCTGTCAGGACTGTGTGCACTACCTGACTGAACTCACGTGCTTTTTAATCTTTTTCCTGTGTCATTTCTCCTCTTTGATGCCCCAGCCTCAGTACTGCACAGGTGTATGTACCCTCTGTCCCTGCCTTGATCAAGGCCATGGTCTTAAGTGTGCTGAAGCAAGATGGACTGACTGTCCCTTCTGTCCTGTCACAGCTCCAGTTAAACAGGTGGTGCCATACAGGCTCTGTGTATGTTAAAAACGACACTTAACGATTCTGCTAAATGAAAATTGCATCACAACATGCAAATACTGTTGTGGCTGCCCTGTACCCTCTCTTCTTATGCCCAATCATTTATCCTGCTTCGACAATAGAGATCCAAATCCAGCTTCACTATATAAAGGGATGCAGCTCAAGCTGAACACAGATGCTTAGTTATTTCCCACATAGAATATCACTGCTGGTTGTGAAACAATTGGGCAGTTTTTCCCCTTCTCTTGCAGTTCTTTCATAGAGGCTCCTTATTTAATTCTCCCCTTGGCAAAAGCTCATATAGAGCTTTTTCTTTGTGCATCTGTCTAGGAAGAGAGAACTGTAATGTTTGCATAGCTCTGGGAACAATGGGTTGTGTGCCCATGAAGCACTCTCCTAATTCCAACAGTGGCCAGAGTGCTGTAGGCACTCCCTCCTGGGTAATCTTAATGGATAATCAAATTCAAACCAGAAACAATAGTCAACTCCTGTCAGCATTTTCAAATCACTTATTCTGTGTTGTGACTGTTTTTCTTCAAACTTCATAATTAACTCTTGATTTCCACTTTCGTGCTTTTTTGAGAGGGATATAGTAGAAAGACTGTAATTCACAAAAAAGGCTCAGGGCTTGATTTCAGTCTCTTTCTCCAAGAAAAGCTTGGGGTCCACAGAATAAAGGAAAGAAAACAATAAGCTTACCACTTCTCCACCAGCACCTTGCAGGCTTTGGCTTGTGCAAAGAGCTGATTCACTCGATTCTCTTCTGTGTCAAAGTGCTTCCTGTAAAATGACTGGAGATAACAGAAGTTACGAACTGGAACGATGTTTACCTTAGGTAATCCACCACTTCCAATCCCTGCTAGCAATGGCCTGCCTAAGTTGGAGACCTGGCAGTGGGATTAGAGCTTTCTCCCTTAGTTCACTGGTAACAGGATAAGGATTCCTGCTCTAAATTCTAAGTTTAAATTTACTCCTGGTCAGTTATTGTTGTAATTTCAATCCAGTGGCTATTCATCTGCCTACATGAAAGAAGCCTGTCTGGTTCATACTGGGCAGGAGCTTGCATTAGAAAAGCCATCGCTGCTACAGGCACTCACTGGCCCCCTTGCTGGCAATCTTGAAGAGGCCAAGTTCTCAGTGGACCTGGAGGCTGAGTTCCCCTCTCACCTCTACAGGTGGTTCTTCCAGGTCAGGTGGTGGGGAAAGTGTGGAAGCTAGCACTGCTGCTGCCCAGCCTGTACCTGTTCTGTAGATAAATAGAGGGCTTCAGTCTCCAAGGCTGTCAAATAGGCTGGAACCTTTCATAAGCACTACATAAAAACTTATTTTAAAATTCTTATGGAACCAAAGAGGTAAAATACATGCGATCATACCTAGCCTCACCTTTGGAACTGATTTGTGCTAGTTCTGGCAACAGGCAAACCTTGTTTACAGGTACTGCAGTTAATTGTCAGTAACACAGCAGAGCTTTTACAGCATGACACGCAGGGCTTTTCAAACTGTCTGCTCTCTCCCAGTAGGTGAGAATACTAACCTGATTTTTGTAGCCCTTGTCCACTCCAAGCGTCTGGGTGCAAAATTTATGCTTAACACCAAAGTGCCGCATTAGGTAGGCCAGGTCGATAGTCCAGATACTCTTAGTTAACTGGAGTTCCTGGATGGCTTTCTGAAATTCATCATTGTCCAAATGATTCAGGTACCTATGGTATCAGGAAAGGCAGGGGAAGGGAAGCACAGATCTTAGGAGAAGCAAAATGTGTGCTGTAGCCCAAGCCTCCACATCACAGGATGTAAAAACTTAAACAATGGGTTTGGCTAAGAAATTATAATAATAATAAAAAAAATCAACCCACAAAAGAGCCACAAATTGAAGGGAAGGGAAGGGAGCAGGGAATACTTAACTGCGTTTATTGCTGACTTTTAAAAATAGGAAGTATATGGGTATATTGACTGTTTTATAGTGCTAGAACTCTACAGGTGCTGTAAAATGGGCAAGCTCTACTGAGCAAGTATAGAACTGTCCTGAAGGGCTTACAGTCTAAATGTACGAGCATATTAAGAGCAAATACAGAAAGAAGTGTTAAAGACTGAAACTTGCTTCACACAGTAGATGGTTTTCAAAAGGAGGAACTGTAAAGGAAGTCAGTAAATATTCAAAGGAAGTTTGTCTTAGGCACTGATAGCACAAAAGGCAGTAAAAGGGAGATGAAGTCAGGGGGAAGCTTGGGACAGGTTGCAAAGGGGTGGGGAGAGGCAGTTACAGAGAGTTCTGGAAGTCAGAAAACAAATGGAAGTAAATGAAAAACAAAAAAAGGACTGGAATTGAGGATGCAGGGAAAACAAGGTCAGATCAGCAGGGTGACAAGATTAATCTTGGAAACTGAGTTTTGGGCAGACTGGAGTGGCAAAGAGGTAAAGGGAATAAAGAGGCAGAGGTTACAGTAGTCAAGATGGGAAATTACCAGCACACGGACTAACGTCTTGGCAGAAGGGATGGAGAGAAATGAAAATCTTCTGCTTCATATCTACTAAGTGGACATCTAAATAGGTATTTCTCCTGCACCTAAGCTCATGTTCCTCTGTGGAAGGAAAGAGGAGTTCAACAGGACAGCTACTAGTTCAAAAAAAGAAAAACCAAAACAAAACCAAAAAAACCCCAAAGGGCAATACAGTGCATTGTTCTGAAGTTGAAACTACTCCTGGAACAAACACTCATCCCACAGACTGGGGGCTCAGGAGAACAGAAGTGTGTACTCCTGAACTGGGATACACCTACCCCTCACCTGAAAACACAGAGAGGAATTAAGTGATTTGCTCTGCTAAGTATCAGTTCTGAATTATAACAGGAAAGAGGGATAACTTTTCATCAGTTTATGCATGCCAGCCTGCAAAGTTCTTAGAGCTGATCAGCTGTTTTGCATCTGTCAAAACAGGCAATTATTCAAAAGGGTCTTAACTTCATCTTAGTTTGTTTTCCTTTGCTCCTGCTGGAGAGCCATGCCAGCCCCAAGCAGCAGTAGTTCTCCAAGGGTACATGAGAATATGTGGTCTCATAAGACTGAAGTTAAACTCACAGCTGCTTCAACACACCTCTTCTCCCTGGATGTTGCTTCCCACTACCCCTCTCCCACAGGATGGGATTTCCCACCCATTCAAACCAAAACAGTCACTTACTGAAGCACCATCCTGGAGCAGGCCAGCCCGCAGTCCCAGTGGTACAGCTGCTGAATGACTGGCACTTTCAGCTGGATGCAGTCAGCTGCAGTGAAAACACCCCATTGTGAGCAAAACACAAAAGATGGCAATCCACACAGCTATGTTTTCTCCATTCCTCAGCAGTATCAGCCAGCCTGTCCTAGTATGGTAGTGGTGGAAACTTGGGAATGTTTTTTAACTTCATCTGACCAGCAGGTATTTTTTCCTTTCTTAGGGGAATATCAGTTTGGTATTTCTGTACAGTTAAGCATTTGGTTTAATCTGATAACTGCTTTTTTGTTCCATACCTGGATCACTCTGCTGTATGGTCCACTCTCTTCTCCTCTGGAAGTTTCATTTTATTCTTTTTGGTGGGATGACATACCCACCAGCCCCTACTATGAAGCCGTATCCCCTTCCTAAACATTCGTAGGTAAGGCACAGGTATTCATCTTGTCTGATTCTATTTCTGTGTCACAGAGGTGTAAAACCAAACTGTGAGAAAAGAGACACAACAGAGATCTCTTGGTGTTGATCTCTTAAAAGCCCCGCAGATTTGAACCTTTTCTACAGATTTCTTTTTCCTCAAGGACTGTAATTTACGTGAGTAATTTTAGGTTAACAAAGCTCACAAACGGCACCAGTTGGCCTTTTGTATTAACTCCCTCAATAATTCAACAGAGGGAAAAAGAACAATCTGTACCGAAAAGTTCCAGAATACAACTCCATCCCTCTGCCTCAGTTTTTATTTTTGTAGGGTCAGCAGCGTGGTGGTTTCAGTTTCAGAAATACCCTGACCACTCAAAGGACTGGAAGAGCTGTGTCTGTTGCCGCGACTTCAACGTCGATCAAAGTGAGTTAATCATAAAGGGCTTTTCTCAGTAACCTCACCTTTGATCTAGAAAAGACCTTTGAAAAGCTGTGTTAACACAAGGTCAGCTACATTTTAAGATGGGACTAAAAATGCATTTGACATCATCTGGACTGGTCTAGTATTGATGTAATTTTATTTATAAAACTTTTTAGATAATGTTATTTGTAATCTGATATTATTTTTAACAAACTATAGCCTACTGTGGGGACAAGCCAATACAGATATTTTGGACTCTTTCCAAATACTTTTTCATAGTTGTGCCACTGTTTAATCATGACTTTGAAGACTGGCATACCCACTGGTGTAGTCAGTCTTTTAAATCTGGATTAAAGTGCTTTTCAGTATCCTAAAGAAAAAACGAAAACCTAATTCCCAGATTCTCCTCAAACCAGGATCCATAAGTACTTTGTCTCATGTTTTCTTGGCTTGTTATGAATCTGTCCCCTTTTTAATACCCAGGGCCTCTGTCACGTCCCAAGATGCATTAAAGAAGTACGTGTTTTCTACGTGAAGACTTCAAAGGGTAATAACTTTACTGTTCAGCTTCCAGTCATCCTCCTTCCCAACACACCCAGGCTGCTGTCAGCTGTCCCGAGATAAGATACCAGCCAGCACACGCTGTGGCTGTAAATAACACCCAGAACACCTCGCCGGTTCGCCAGCTCCTCGGCACAACGACCTTACAGACGGAGCCGGTAATTCCACATCGCTGCTGCTGGCGAAACCTGCAGCCTCGCGGCTCCGGGAGGGCGGCGGAGGCGGTCAGGGCTTCCCAAGGGGCTGGCGAGAGCCGCCCCCT